CTCAAACTACATGGTACATTGGTCTAAAAGAACTTATGAATAAATTATGCAATTATGTAACTTAATTGTAAATGAACCTTCTTGTCTATCCAAATCATGTGCATGCTGACGTCTTTAAGCTTTGGTGCCTCTCGGAATTCTAGCCATGTCATCACAGGGCGCGCAATGACTATGCGAGTGTTTATGCCCAAACGCAAGCCCCGAAATGGCATGCAAGTTTCAATCGGATCTATAAGACAATAAAGGGGAACGAAATGGTTTTTTTATGTTTCTTGCAGAGGTATCGAGATTCTTGGGAGGATTTGTTTACGAAAGTGAAAGTTCTGACCTTTGATATCGGTGGGGACCATGTGAGCGCCATCTATTGTCTGGCGGTTCTTGCCTAAACTCTCCATGGCAAGTGGGGTCTCTGTACGAACAATACAAAAACTGACCAGAAATGTTGTTTCAGCAGTAAAACCGGTGAAGAAGAGAAAGCCGTGGACTTACCTTTGCTTTAATGTTTGTCTGGTAGTTTCTGTGGTGGGGCTTCTTCGACAGAGAAAGGTTGACGAAGATGTGGACGACGGTTGTCGATGGTTGATTAGGGAGGATAGGGTTTTAAGGAGGATCGCTCTGTCTGAACGGGCCTGTATTATGGGCTTTTATTTAAATCATGTTTGTGACTATAAAGCCTTTGCATTGGTCATTGTTCTGTGGGCTTGAATAACAGGCCTGTATGTTTATTGATTCATCTTGTATTGTCCTATAGTTTTGTGGATTGTGGTCCAGGCAATGCAATTCGTTCAAAATTGAGTTTATCTATTTTACATTTAGATTACGACGGTTCTAATAACGGTTCTAATAACTCAGATCTTCCATTTATATGATATAAACTGCAACATATGTTTGAGGAACTGATCGCCAAAAGTGAAGTTGAATATAGTTCTTCATCATTCATTATTTGGACGCATGATCAAAACAAAACATTCACCTCTCTGAACTATTGAGGTACAAACATCAGGGACTTCCATATGGACTGAACAGAATAACCAGCGGCCAGTCAATGGTCGAAGTGAGTACATTGGTGATTTTCCAAAATACCAGAGTAGTTAGGGAAAAACAATCAGTTTTTTTTTACAGAAAACAGAGCAACATGTCCTGAATAGATAACATACATAATTATAAATAAGCCGTCCCGACAAACTAAGTTCCAAGTAGAGCAGTTTTCAATCACACGAAAGCATTAGGGTTCCAGATTGAAGCAATTCGAATTGTAGGAGGATTTTCTGAAGTCCCAGGAGCAACATAAGCTTCAGCCATAAAAGGCACATAACACCTGTCTTGAATGTACTGATATCCTTCTTCATAGGTTAGACTGAAAAGTTCCTCAGGTGAAACCCAAACCAAGCCCAACACAGCTTCATGATCAAACACAACATCAACATATTCTCCCTCACACTCACCTGTTGCTTGTAATTCATATCGTACCCTGAATTAAACAATAAAAGGAACGTTTTGATTTTCCTGAAATGCAATGGACAACAGATTATTAGCAAAACATAAAATTGAATCATACCTTGGAAAACCTGAACAGGATTTAAAGACTTCTGGACCGTATGTAAATCTTGTCATTTCCAGCATACAACGATAGAGAGTCTGAAGGAAGGAATTTGTGTTATAATAGGTAAAAGATATGACTATATATTTGGGATATGTGTTATCCAATACAATCAGAACAACAAATATTATACATATACCTGGTAGGCCTGTACATGGAACATTATATCATCCTTTAGCTGCCTAAGTGTTCTTTTGGGAGGAAGAAGACCACGAAGATAACCAATAGAGCAGCGAGAAGTATTATTGATGTAAGTCACTGGCATTCGATCACCTATGAACCTAAACAACAAAAAGAACGTACGTATTGTTTTTCTAGCATCCAACAGAGCAGGTCTGTCAATATATAAACATAGAATTCGAATATAATAATACCTATTTATGATTTTCTCATAATGGTGATTGTAAGAAGCAATGATCAGACGACTTCCAGGTGAAGATTGAAATGCATATGCATCTCCAGTGCCATCTGTAATTGGCAACCTTGTAACAGCAGTAATTGTGGTAATGAGAGGAAGCCGAGCTTCAGATTCCCCTGCAAACTCCAAATACTTTGTAACCTCAGTTCCAGAGTAGTACACTGTCGCCCTGTCCCCTCTATACAAAATAGCAAAAGATCAGTTAATCCCACATAAAGTCTAACAAACAAAAGTCCGCACAAGACAAGAATACGCAAGAAACCTGCTGTCTTCTATGATGAGCTCAAACCTAAGAACACCATTACTTGAAAATTATGGAATTGTTAGATGAACAACGCAACCTGTAACATCTGCAATTAAATTCATAGTAAGCAAATAATCATGAATACTTTTTGTGAAAACAACTTTCGAGGAAGATACCTCCATAATTCACAACTGCTTCTGCCTCTATTGGAACAGCCGAGAACGAAGTTTTCAGAAAAGTATTGACAGGAAACTTGGGATAACCCGGATTGTCAGGCACACAAAATATGATATGTTCACGCCTTAAGGCAAAGCGAACTTCAGCGGGAATAACACGTCTGTTTTCCCTCGCAAGAATAACATGAAAGCCATCCAGAACATGTAAATCTCCTACTTTCAACTTATGTTGCATTTCTTGAATGTCATCTTCCTCAATACAGGCCTCTAGCATATGTTCCTGTTAAATGTGATTTAGTGCATTACTACACTAAAATCAAACATAAACAATAAATATTACATTATATAGACGAATGACAGACCTCTTTGTCAAGACACAGCACATGCATTGTTCTTTTATGCCCCTGAGAGTCATCACTATACTCAATCCATACATTAAGAACTCGGATGATCATAATATCAATATAAGCACCAACGCGTAGACCACGAAACACCATGCATGTGGAAATTGGGTCTGTGGTAAACGAAAGACAAAGAAAAACCCCAAAACTTCACACCTCGGCAGTGTTCATTCATAAACCAATAAATAGAAACTTGAAACAGAAAGCAACGGAGTCGATACCTCGTGGAAGAGTTGGAAGTTTGAAATCACGCGGCATTATACAACGATGCCTGATATGGAAAGACAATAGAAGATCAAAATTTTGTTCAAGTGTCAAGAAACAGAAACAGAATGCAAAAGGGAAAACTATCGGCGATCATACCCCATGAATACACGACTATCTCTGATCTGGAAGTTGCGAAGTACTGTAGTTCCTGGGAAAAGAAGTTCAGAGAACAGGGGAAGTTAAAAAGGCAGAATTAGAACCGAAATGAAAATGCGGTGGAAGTTGGTCCCTAAAACGTTTTCGCACCACCATTATAAAATCATAAATTGAATATTCAACGGGCCATCAATTGTTCCCCTAATGGACCGAACAATTATAGAATGGGCTTCCCAAAAGCTATAGAAACTTAATATAAGCACAAAGGCATCTCCTATTCGGGCTAAATATGAGAATACTGGGCCCAATTCATATATCTACTTATATCATAAAAGAGGCCCCGTTATTTATATTTATCTATCCGCGTCCGGGCTTGAAGCAAATTGAGAAAACACAAATGTTTCATTCGAGAACACTTTAATCATGTAACCGCAGTTTGTTATTGTTTATTCATTTTTAACATTGTCAATGGTCCAGGTGATACCACACAATTAAACTAAAGTTTGCTCTCGCTGTATATTTAGAACATGGGTTGTACTTGGTTCCTCATTTATGGCCATGTTCAACGTAGGCAAAAACATCATACAATCCTCAAATTTGGTGCTGTTAGGGTCAGTTTGTTCTGATATTTAAATGACTATCTACAAACATCTATATTTGGCAACAGATTTGAACATGTCAAATTTCAAATTAAAGCAGTGACCTCCACCTGCAATTTCTTGTTAAAATAAACAGCAACCATCAACTGGTTGCTCCTCTTTTCTTGCCTACATTCTAAAACCGTTGTAACCCATAATCGGATAGAAACCTTGGCTATTGATCCATGAACAACACTGGAAAAACTCAACACGCAAGCTAGTCAATAGTGCACCTCCTGTACTTGCAAAAGCTGAATATCAAACAAAAGATAAGTGACATGGGAGAGAGATGTGCACCAAGGCAATCAACGTTATATTCGACATCATAAAAATACATAAACAACACAACATAGATCATTTTGTTCCTTCTCCCCAAAACTTAACTACTTTCCTTGTACAAAAGAGGTTCATTAGATACACTAACACTTCCTAGCTCTGACTGATCCTTTGCCCACAAAATGTAACCATCTCCCCTATCGTTCAAAGTACCCCATCTGCAAACATAGAAGGATCAAAGTGAAATTCTATATACATATATTCAAAATAGTAGCAATTGCAAAGGCAACACTTGTTCTGCCACCATGCAATAATTCATGGGTCACCATTCAAATACATTACAGGGAAGAAGGCCAACAAACAGTAAGAGTGGATTCTAATCCTACTCAAGATGCAATAACTCGCGGGTTCCAAACCCAACCAAAAAATTAGCAAAAATTATTTCCACTCAAGGAATTTGAAAGCATGAAGAACCCGTGAACAGATGGAACTCGTCGAGCGACGAACAGGGCAACATAACCCTAGGAAAAATGGTAAATTTGATAAGCATCATAAGGCAAATACCTGACACGACATACAACTGCAATATAAACACAAAAAGAGAACTAACAATTAATGAGATGTTTCTGAGGAAGAAACATTTTGGTAAGAAATCCATTTGAGATGGGATCGATGAAAGGTTGAGGAAGGCGTAGGTGGAGAGAAGGGAGAGGGAGCGAAGGAGAGAGAAGGGATGAAGATAAAAGATTCAGAAGATTGGGGATGAAGGAGAGGATTTGAGATCGAAAATGGCGAGAGAGTTCAAGCAAGAGAAAGTGCATTAAGATTTAAAGTGATGAAAGAGTAACATAAATCTCAATTAGGAAAACACAGAAAACATACTTTGGGGATCTGAGTCTCTTCCAATTCCTCTCCGACCCTCTCAAATTTGCCAGTTGATTGCTCCAAACTCTACTGGTTTCGAAAATGAGAAGAGAGCCAAAAGTAGAGAGAAAACAAAAGATGATCAATATAAACCATTACGACAGAAACAAAATTTTGAGAGACAAAGGAACAATCACATGAAATCAGTATAGAACCTGTGGTTCTGGGTGTTCTTCGAATCCTCCCTCCCTCTTCCAAATAGCTCCAAATCCACTCCAGGACACTCAAATCTCTTTCTTGATAGCTCAAAACAACGGAACAAACGAAATCAGGGAACTCCGATCGATCCACTGAAACAAACGAAATACAAAGCATCCATATAACGACTCACCATAGGAGATTCACAGTTGAAGGATGAATCAACTCTGATGCAGAGCTCGGATCCTTCTGTTCCTGAGAGCGGCGATGAAGAAACCTGGAAAAAGAGGATCAAAGAAACCCCATTTTTTAGATAGAAAGAGAGAGAATGAACCCAGTCAAGAAAAGGAAGAGAAAACGAATGCAAAGAAAGAGGAAGATATATTTCAAGAGAAGAGTGCTTCTCTGACCTCGATGAGAGAGAATATAGTACCACAGGTAGATTAGGTTAACCACACCAAGCAAACGAACGAAATATCTTTGCCAACCGTCAATCTCATTTTTCTGCTTCCCTGATCAAGCTTCTATCCCCTCATATTTTTTTCTTTCTTTCTCTGCTTCTCTGATTAGTCCCCTCAATTACCTTTCCAGTTTCAGAAAGTATGCCCAGTCTACATCATCAAGACATACCTCTCTTCTCTCTCAGCCTCTGAAACCGGCACGACTCCCACCTCTTAAACGCTCCACACCTCAAATACTCTGACCTTGCCCTAAGCCACTTGCAGAGCCACTGAGCAGTACATCTCCTTTCAATAAACCCTTCCAGTCTCCCTATGGCCCACCATCTCTGAGTCTCCCACCCACGGATACGTCGATCGCTTGCAAAGGCCCTGACACAGCTGCCAAGGAAAATAGACCGGCCGCCTTAAATCAATCCAATCAAGCAACTGGGCAGGCTCCAGCCACCGAGAGGGCCCTGGTGACCAACGCTTTCGTGGACCACAACCGATCCAGCAGACCAAAACAGCCCAACGATCAAGTTCCATCCCAACCGACCCACCAAACACCCGTTCGATTCCAATGAGCCCCCACCCAACGCCAGCCCACACAGCGCCAGCTTCCGGGTTATAACAATACATCTCGGTCAGCATGAACAGTAAAATCAGTCTGCGTGTGCAGTACCAGGTCCTGCGGTGGGATTTCTTCTTTCAATTGAAAATGCTTTCGACAACAGTGTTGACACCAAGAGAACCCTCTGCGAGATCAAGCTTCTCCGCCATATGGATCACGAAAACGTAATCTGATCAATTAACCTCCAAATTAATACCGATTTCCCTCATGGGTTGATCAAAAGTAACTAATCTGGCTGTTGCTCTGTTTTAATCGTGTGTGCAGATTATCAAAATTAAGGACATAATCCCGCCGCCGGAGAAGGACAAGTTCGGCGGCGTTTACATCATCTACGAGCTCATGGATACCGACCTCCACCACATCATCCGCTCCTCCCAGCTTCTCACCGACGACCACGCCCAGGTTTCTGATTATACAATTTTATGTCTCTACATTTGAGTGGGATTGAGGTGAAAATTATGTTGGAGCGGATGGTATCAATGGCGGGGCAATCCTTTTTTGTACCAATTGCTTAGGGGTTTGAAGTACATCCACTCGGCAAACGTGCTCCACCGTGACCTGAAGCCAGGGAACCTGTTGCTGGATGCGAATTGTGATCTGAATCTGGGTTTTGGTCGACAAAGTTGTTGCCCGCTGCACATTTCTCCGTGAATCCTGTCCCTGGAGATCGATTGGGGGCATTTCTGAATTTGGGTTTTGGTCGACAAAGCTGCTGGCCAGTTCCATTCCAATTCCTCGTCAGATCTGTTGGCAGCGGAGGCGGCCTGGTAGGGTTCTAGTTTTGCGGCGTTGGCCTCGGCTCCGGAGGGTTTATCTGAGCAGAAACGGCAGCAACCACCGCCGTTTGTGGCCAAGAATGCGGCGACGGAGAACAAGAGAGGGGATTTCCCGTTCGTTCTTAATTTTAATACTTTATAATTTTATCTTTTATTTTTTTAACAGTTAGAAATGAGATGAAAATTTTAAAAAAATAAATTTTATTTATTTATTTTTAATTGCCACGTCACACATTTAATGATCAACTTTTAGAGTTGACTGTCACATAAGCAAAAGTTAACGGAGTTGGATGAAGAGTGACCAAATGTGAACGGTTTCAGTAAATTGAAGTATCACCAATGGATTTGAATATTTCGAGTGACCAAATTTGAACGTTTTTTTGTATCAACCCATGTTATAGAGATTCAACCTTAATGAAAACATCACATCTAGTGATCCTCCTTCTAGTTAATTGTGGGTTCTTTTATTGTTAGATTAGTTACTTTCACATTCAAACATTTTCACTTTCGATGTAGTTTAAGGTCAAAAGTAGTAGTAGAGCTAAAGGCCAAACAATAAGGCCTTGAAGTACCTGTACTATGCATTCTGATAAAGTAGACTCGGGTAACTTCATCTCTTGCACCAACCCCTTTTGCCTTGTTTGCTCATCTCCTCTGTAATTATCTGCTAATCCTTATGCATCTTCTCCTACATGTAACTTCTGCACATACGCAAGAGAGATGGCGCCATAAGATATAAATAAGTAGGCATTGCAAGATCGAACAAAAAACAGCTGGTAACTACTTTTATTAGTGTCTTCTGCAAATTACTTAAACCTGTATATGGGTTTTAGAAACTACTACACATTACAACATTATGGTTACAAGACAACACCCCTCCCCCATTTACAAATCTATATTCTAGGATCTAGATTTGTCTACAATCTACTAAACATACTCCACAACTCTCAGCTGCTGCATAACAAAGAACATCTCTTCATCCCAAATTAGTTGGATTCTACAGAACCGTAACTCTACCCTTGGAGATTGGAGACCCCTGGAAAAGCTTGGTAAAGATTGAGTCTTTCAGTTTCTCAAGCTCAAAAGAAACCCTATGGTGGCTCCTTTTCTCCGAGGAACGCTCTTCTGCCATGTTGTTCTGCTGCTGCTTCTTTTTCTTCTTCAGCTTCCTGGCTTCTGCATTCTCAAGCCTCAGTATCTCCATGGCTGAACTCAGCTGCCTGATTACCTCCCTTTTCTCCTCGTCTTTCTGCGACAGCTGCTCCTTCTGTAACCTGTTCTCCTCCTTCAGCTCTTCAACTTCTGATTTCAAGTTCAACTTCTTCTCCACTTCATCATATTCCCTCTTCGCGTTGGCTGAACTCAGCTGTCTGATCACCTCTCTTTTCTCCTCATCTTTCTGCCACAGCTGTCCCTTCAGTAACCTGTTCTCCTCCTTCACCTGTTCAACCTCTTCCTTCAACTTCTTCACCACTTCATCATATTCCCTCTCCACATTTTCTACTTGGGCTGCGAATCCGGTGTTTGCAGAAATAGCTTCGTCCTCAACAACAGGATCGTCGACTTCAGATTCAGCACCGGAGTCGGAGTCCTCCACAACAACGCCATCGTGGAATAACTCGGAGTGGCTGCTAGAGGTAGATTGTTTGCAGCAGTCGTAGGTTTGAATTTGATCTTGATCTTGATCACCCATCCCACTACTGATGGTTGATTTGCAGTCGAAAGGCTCGCGATGATCATCATCCGAGCTCAAACTCATGGTTGTCGACCTTTTCCCACCACGGTCGTAATAGTGGTCTGAAACTGAAGATGATGTTGGAGACAACGATAGGCGGGGAAGTCGAGTTCTGTTCTCGGATTGGAGTTGATCGAACTGCTCCAGTAACGAACGTTGCGCCTTGTAAGAGTCCTGGACCATGTTGATGAGCTCCGGCCTCTTCTTATAGTACATCTCTGCCCGCTGTGCAAATGAATCTGCTTCTGTCTCGATCAATTTCATCATTGCCTTTGTTTTCCTGTTTAGTTCTGCATATACATCATACCACAAATGATGATGATGATTTCACACCATAGAAAAAGATTGTGCTACTATTTCACATCATAGATTGTACTTCAAATGTTCCAATAATACCAAATAGTCATTAAGATTCGGTAACGAAACTTTTTGACCATAGACAGAGACAGAGAGAGGGTCCAGCTCAAATTTCATATCATTCCATTGCACTGGTTTGTTGATTATGAAATTGATCATTGTTAAGTCTCTAGATATAGTTACTCATGACCTACAATTCTTTCTTCCTCATCGGTGAGTTCCAACCCAATATGGGTTAAGCCTCAAAATTCACATATGGGCAAACGCGAAGCAAAGATCTTGCACAAAATTGTCATGGGTAAGAGTAAAGAACATCCTTTTTCGCTAAACTGAGGTCTGAGAGAGAGGGGGGGAGATTACCAGAAAGAGTAGAGTGTAGCCATGGAGAGCGAGGGGAGGCAGAGTGACTACTGTCAATCCACCACCACTTGTGCGACGAGTCCTTCCTCATCATATCTTCATCATCATCCACAATCGCCATTCCTTTCTTTTAAGTCCCCTTCTTCAAGTACTTGTCTAAAATCTGGGGATCCATCAAAGCACCGTTTATCATTACCACAGCTTCAAGAACATATCCCTCCTTGGTAGATTCCGAAGAAAAGATTGCCAAAATAGAGAAAAAGAAAACAGAAAGATTCAAGAACCTAAAAAGGGTTGTCGTTCGTCCTTGGCAATCTTTAGACCCAAAACCCAATCTCCACGAACGTGATTCAGAAAGAACCCAAAACACAGAATCGCGAAAAACAGAGTAGTGGGAAGCAGGGGGAAGTTACCTGCAGAGAGAGAACTGTCTCGGCTTCTGTCGCTTCTTTCCTCTTCACTGGTGATCAAAACCAAAACCAAGTGTCTTTACGTGTGCACTTGAGTCCAATTTCACGGACTTGCGAAGAGAGATAGAGAAGCGGTAGACTCTGTCGTATTTCGTCTTCCTTTCCTTCCTTCTCCGGCCTTGGGTTTCTCAGTCGGTGCTTTTTGTCCTTCTTGACCGCGAGCGCCTGCCACGTCTAAGCGAGCAGAATTCGAGGCGAGGGAAACGGTGGAGGATGAGATGAGATGGAGGGGGAATTTGAATTTTACTCGTAATTTGTCAGGGACCGGGATTGAGTCACTGCCGGCGCCGATGGATCTGATTGCTATGCGCTTAATCCGACGACTGAGGGGTTTTCTCCCTTTTATTTAAGAAAGAGGTGTTTGAATTTGGGTTGGAGTCGGGGAGCGTACCCAGTTGCGTAAAAGAGACTCCAATATTTCGTAACGGTCGAGAAATTAGTACATACGACAAAAAGAAGGATTCCCAGATTTTTTTTTGTGAAAAAACAAAATAATATTCTTACTTTCCTAGACGGTACGGGATGTGGAACAATTCATCAAAAATTGTAACACGACTTGCATGACTGCGGGTTAATTTCCTAAATATTGCTTTTTTTTTACAAAAATTACCACACATATTGGCTATTGCGGTTTAAAAACTATTGACACAATATTGTGTTTTGGAGAGGGTAAATAGCGGGCTCGCCCCAAACTCAGGCAGACACGCTTTTTGATTTTTTTTTCAACCAACTCGAACGCTGGCGCCTTAGGCTGGGGCGATTTTGGAAACCAGCGCGGTGGCGCCCGAGATTAAAGTGATTTCAGTGGCCAGCGGGGGGCGCCTAAGACTGGGGCGGGTTCGCTGCTTTACCCATCCACTCCAGCCGTATAAAACCTAACGTTTTCTTTCAGCAGCTCACACCAAAAAAATCGATCTTCTGTTAGACGAAAGAAGTTGTGGGTGCTGCAAAGATGGCTAATAGGTAAGAGACACATTTATTTTTTTTAATTATATTCTTCAAATGTTGTTATGATTTTGTTTAGTAATTAGTGAGTTTATTTTTTTATGTAGTGATTTTAGAAAATTTGAATGAGTCGTTCGGTGGAAATCAGAGAAAGTAGAGGATAATTTGGGCCTCCATTTCATTGGTGGTGGAAGTTTTCAGATGACGGTGCCATCCAGGGTGACATATCACAAACTTTGTGAGAATCTAATTCGAAGAATACGGCGTAGAGACGAAGTAGTGCAAGATAGTGATGTGATCACAGGTTTCACTTATTGTCTTTCAGAATGGCAGCATTATGTTTTATTTCATTATGCGATGCCTATTGTGGATGATGATAGTTTGAATGCGCTTTGGAATTTTATGGCACAAAACCCTTATTGTTTGGGTGCTGAGATACATGCTGAGCTCAGTGAGCATCAGGATGAAAAGGAAGAAGATGAGACATGGAGCGTGCCATCCGATCATGATGATGATGACGAAGACGGAGAGGAGGAGGAGAAGGAGGAGGAGGAGGAAGAGGAAGAGGAAGAGGAAGAGGAAGAGGAAGAGGAAGAGGAGGAGGATGAAGATGGGGAAGGAGAATTCTACAATGCCTATTGTCGGTGGTCTTGAAGGAGAATTCTACAAGGAGCAGATATTTCACTCGAAACAAGCTGCACAGGTGGCGATTAAACACCATGCACTACAACGCAACTTTCAGTATGTCGTGGTGGAGTCGTCACAAAAAATCTGAAAGGTCAGATGCTTAAAGCACAAGGAGGACAATTGTCCTTGGATGATGCAGTTTGGATGTCGAGATGTTGGAGGGAAATGGACTGTAAGAAATGCCGAGTTGGTGCATTCTTGTAGCTCTACGACTCAACCGACGGATCATCACCATCTTGATGTCGACGTTATATCTGAGTCCGTGAAACATTTGGTACGTGCCCAATAAAATCTAAGTGTTCTAACTGTACAGGCCGAGTTGAAAGAAAAATTTAATGGGTAAGTTACTTACAAGAAGGCTTGGTATGAGAAACAAAGAAGAGCATTGGAAAAGTTGCATGGAAATTGGGAAGAATCCTACGATTATTTGCAAACATTCTTGCGGGCGGTAAAGAGAAAAATGCCAACATTAGTGATTGATTGTGTAAGAGTTCCTTCAGCTCAACCAGGTCATTCGATCTTTCAGCGAGTATTCTGGGCTTATAGACCTTGTATAGATCTATTCAAGAATTGTCCAAGAGTCATGGTTGTTGATGGAACATTTCTTACTAGAAAGTATAAAGGAGTGCTACTCATGGCGAGCTCATTTGATGGTCGGAAGAAGATTTTTCCAATAGCATTTGCCATAATGGAGAGCGAGAATACTGATAGTTGGTCATGGTTCATAAGTCGCGTTCAAGGTTTGACTGGTCGAAATGATGTATGCATAATCTCAGATAGACATGCGGGACTCTATGAAGCCATGAGTGACATCGGAAGAGGTTGGGAGTGGAGGTGGTGCATGCGACACTACTAAAAGCAAAATTATGTATAAGCAACTATTTCGAGTCGGCAAGCCTTCTTCTTCGTTATTGTTATTTATTTTAATGTATTATTTATTTTCATTTAATTTTGTCATGAATTTATCTAACTCGCTCTCAATCACACTACCGCTGAGGTTCTGGGCTCTCCCAAAGTAAGGGCACCACTACACACAAAAGCCGTCACATAATTACTCATAAATCTACAACAAACCAATGAAAACTATTCTATAAAACGAAATGTTATATACTAACCACGAAGGTCGTGCATTCGTCAAACCACAGCTTATACTGGAAGAATTGGTCACCGTGCTGATGGGTCTGGGCCGGAAGCCATAAAGAACCACGTGGAAATGCGTCCCCTGTAATGTGCGCCCCCTTCTCTGCATGTAGTGGTGTTGTATGTGAAAATCGCTCCCACGCCCAGAGCTGCAGTAAGACAGACCATCCACCAAGGTCACCACCTAGTGAAGAGGACTGCGTCATCCTCAACATCGACCTACCCATCTCACGGTACAGGTAGGATAGAATAGCGGCTCTCCAGTCGAACCCTCCAGCTCTCTGCCAATCCTCCACAAAGAGCATGTACTGTAGATGAACTGTAGCTTGTACGTGCGCACCGGGCTATGCCGCCCACGGGCTAGCACGGCACGACACAGTTAGAGCACGACACAGGCACGAAATAAATGGGCCAGCCCGGCACGAGCACGAATAATTTATGGGTCGTGACGGGCCTAAACTTCATGGGCACAGGCACGACACGGTATTTAAGTGGGTCGTGTCGGGCCTAATATTTTCGAGACTTTATTGAGTATAAGAACGGACATGGCACGAAAATAACATTTATTTGATAGAAAATAAATATTAAAATAATTATAGGTTCAAATATTACAAAATACAAGTAGAAAAATAATTATTTGTTGTTGTTAGAAGTGTCACAAAGATATATACATAATTACTAACATAAGTAAAAATGGACAAAGAATTAAACAAAGCCAAATCACACTCGCTATACTTTCAATTTTCTTTTCCCCCTTATTTGCGACTTTTTCTCAAACATTATCGGTTAATGCTATCTTCCCCCGTCCAATTTTCACCTTCTTTTTCATTCTCACTTTTTTTCCCGTCCTTTTCATTAAACACGAATACGAGCATGGCACGAGCACTAATAGACACGACACGATTCGAACCGTGCCTAGCAAAGTTAACAAGTAGGCTTGCATGGCACGACACGAAAACTGACGGGCCGTGCCAAGCACGACACGAAATAGATGGGCACGAAGCGTGCCCGTGCCAGCTCAAGCACGACCCAACGCCCATGTACACTCTAGCTCCAGACCGATCTGGGAACATTACACCTCCCATCAAGGATAGAGCATAAGCTCGAGCATACTTCTCTGTAGTCTCTGGTGATGCATCTGCCGGCAGATGATTGAACGTATCCCTGAGCCAACCAATCCTAACGGCACTGCCGGAAAGATCAGCAGGAGCCAGTCCTAAAAGTCGCACACATGTCTCCGAACAGTTTTAGTCTGGTATGTCTACTATGAGTCCTCTAAAGTGATCGTCACCTCACCAAACAACATGTGGAAGGTCGATGTCTCGGGTCGCCAACGCTCTACTAGCGCAGTAATCAAACCGGGATAAACAGTAATAGGGACCCAAGGAAGAACCCTAAACAAGCCCGCCTCGAGGAGGTACGTCTGATAACGTGAATGGTACCTGACTAAATTGCTCGTACCTCGAATATGGTAAGGTCGATCACCAGCCTAAAGTGCACAAAACTTATATTAATTCAATTTCATGCGTACTTCTAAATACAGTTCACCTAGTATTTATATATCTAATCTAAACTTATTCTCATTTTAACATATTTCATGCGTAATTCTATTCTAATTTTAGTTTAGTTCACCTAATAAAAAAATTATAGAAGTAGTTGAAGGACTTACCTCGTTTGCGCAAACTAAGTCAATACGATGGTGCCCATGTTCCCAAAGAAGTACGGAAAAAATCCAAAAGTACCACTGTTTTAAAAAAAAAAAATCCAAAAATACCACCCTTTTTCAAAAACCGCCACCCCACCCAGCGATTTGGTCGAAAACCGCTTGTCGGGGGCTCGGTTATGGACCAAACCGCGGGCCTAGGGGGCGGTTATAAAAAAAAAAATGGACCAAACCGCTGGGTGGGGTGGCGGTTTGGCCCAAAACCGCCACCCCAACCAGCGGTTTGGTCCATTTTTTTTTTTCCGACCAACTCTCAACTTCGGTCGAAACTTCAAACGAACGTAACTTTGCACTCGGGTATCCGATCGTAGCGATTTTTTTTTTCATTTCGCATAACTTTTCAAGATCTACAACTTTTACTAGGATGAAATTTTCAAAACAGGAACTATTTGTGAATATACGGGACCTTGAGAATAACTTTACCTTTACTTTTCAGAAATCCATGTACATTTTGAAATTATGATTATATTAAAAGTTGTAGATCTTGAAAAGTTATGCGGAATAAAAAAAAAGTTCATAACATTCGGAGTTCGGAGCACAAAGTTATGGCCGCCCAAAGTTTGACGAAAGGCGAGACCCGGCGGTTTGCGGCTTGCAAGATCTCAAAAAGTTTGCTGCCTCCATTTTTTGAATCCGAATAACTTTTTGAGATCTTGCAAGTCTCAACCAATCGTGTCCCGTTTTCGTTTCGAAAAAACGTCATTTGCCACCCCGAACGACCTTTTTTTTTATTTCGTCAAACTTTGGGCGGCCATAACTTTGTGCTCCAAAATCCGAATGTCATGAATTTTTTATTTTATTCCGCATAACTTTTCAAGATCTACAACTTTTAAGATAATCATAATTTCAAAATATACATGGATTTCT